CAGCTGCTGTGATGAAACCGTGGAGAAGACACGTCACCGTGGAGAGCCGTTATCCAATATACAAATTAGCCTGCAGTGCCACTGCTCTACCTAAACGAGCAGCCAAAACGTTTTTAGACCAAATATTACAGATTTGAACAAATACGCACAAAAACATCAAAATTAGCACAGAAACAGTACTATATAACATTTTAGACACATTCTAGACAGTTTATCAGCTAAAAAAAAGTTAATTTTGGGGTAAGTTACTCTTTAATCAAATGGAAGTTACATTTTCAAAGTGAACTCGATCAGACTCTGAGTCAGGCCACTCTTAATATGTAAGAAACAAACTACTTCAGTCTGACATTTGATTGTTAGAAAATAAAGAGTTGATGAAAAGTCCACAGACAACAGGAGTCAGGATGTATTGAGTGCTGTGTTTCCCTCCAACTGACCAAAACATCCATCTTAGTTTAACTGGTAACTAACTTGGTGAGAGGGTGGATGTCCGTCTCTGTGATGGACAGGAGACATGTCCAGGTGTCCCCACCTCTTGTACTGTGGGTTAAATGAGTTTTAGGATGTGCTGTTTACTTCACATGTGTAACCTTTGAACCCTCTGGGAAATGGGCATGGTCTTATTTGTTTCTCTCACTTCTCTTATTTTAGGAGGCTGAGGAGTGAGGATGATGAAGGTATTCATTTATTTATCCAGCTGCAGACGTATATCTACTCCATCCTGCATAAAGAAAAAGAATGGATAAGGAGTCCTGTAAGCAGTAAGATAGATAAGGTGATGTTTTAATGTGAGAGTGGCCATCCTTTAATCAAAAATGCATAGAGGCTACAAACACTTTCATTTAGTGGCAATTTATTTCAAATGTTTAATAAACACTTGTTTTCCATCTTTTGAAACAAACACAAAAAGACATGTCTTCAAGGTTTCCTCTCTCTAGAAACACAAATTTCTGTAAGAATAAAATCTAAACATTTCAGTCACAGATTTTAAAGGTCAAACTCGTGTCTCCTGACAAACTGAGTATTTACATCAGCTCTGACTACATCAACATTTACACATGAAAACTGAAGATGGATGGTTTCACAAACACTTTCCCTGAACAACTTTTGTCTATGAAAGAAGGAAGCGGTGGTCCTCTGAGGGTCTTCTATCTAAAGACTCCAGGACCCTGAAACATCAGCAGGTCACCTCCTAACCAGAACCAATCAGAAAAGTCATTTCAAGTCCTCATCTCTCAGCCTGAACTCTTCTTGTTTACACTGAACTGCAACAGGAAGTGTGTGGTGGGGGGGCTTCAGAGCGAGGTCTCCAAACTGTGCAGGGGGCTTCCGGGACAGGGAGGAAGCCCCGCAGAGTAAGGCGGGACCACGCTGGACCTGGAGCCGTCTTTGTGCAGCGGGACGATGCGCTCCGTGGCGTTGTTGTTCTGGTGGGGTGAGGGCGGGACGGGGGGCAGGTGGGAGAGGCCCGTCAGTGGTGGGGGGATGATGGAGTTCCGTTTGGTGGGGGGGCTGTCCTCGTCCTCGTTTTCGTCGATCAGGGGGATCTGTGTGTCAAAGTCCTCGATGCGGAACTCAGGTTGGCTCATAAAGTTGTGAATGGAGCTGCGAGACTCGGGGGTCTCCAGACCTTTGTAAGGGGACATGCTGTCCCTGAAGGCGTTCACCACACGGATCTGAGACACCAGAGAAACACTTTTAGTCTGGGTTTGATTTTTCTCTTGGGTTTTATAACAGCACCTCATTTAACCCTACTTAATAATAAATGGTTAATTAACCATAAAACATTAATTAAACAATAAACTCGTTGTTTATTCATGCTTAATAACTCATGAATTAACAATTCTCTATACTGTGTACCTACATGTATGTAAGTACTGTGTGTACATGTGTAAGTACTGTGTGTACGTGTGTAAGTACTGTGTGTACATGTGTAAGTACTGTGTGTACGTGTGTAAGTACTGTGTGTACATGTGTAAGTACTGTGTGTACATGTGTAAGTACTGTGTGTACATGTGTACATACTGGTGTGTACACGTATGCAAATACTGGTGTATGTCTGTAAATATTGTGTGTCTACAAGTGTGTATACTCTGTGTACAAGTATGTATATACTGCGTGTGCATGTTTGTAAGTACTGCGTGTGCATGTTTGTAAGTACTGCGTGTGCATGTTTGTAAGTACTGCGTGTGCATGTTTGTAAGTACTGCGTGTGCATGTTTGTAAGTACTGCGTGTGCATGTATGCAAG